GCACTGAACTGTGGAATCCACATTAAAAGGGCGGCGCAGAAAGCTTCCACGTCGCAACCTGCTTCCCACCCCTCTTTAGTGATATTGGCCGTTCGGCTTGGCTGACCACACTGCAAGCAGGGTGGGCAACGATTGCTTGGTCGAACAGCTCCTACCAAGCTTCAACAGATCGCCAGCCCGCTTCCTGGCCCGCACTCCAGCTGCCCCAGCGCTCGAAGTGAGCGACACACTCACTTAAATGGTACTTCAACGATCTTGCAGTCAACTGTACTCCATCTGCCTGGTTTACACAGATGGTGTCACAAATTGACGAAATGAGTCTTCAGGCCTGCAACTGACTCCTCTCCCTTGTGGTCGGTAGGATAGGTGGTATAGCCAGTAGGTAAATCTGCAGTCTCGGTCAAGTGCGGCAATACGCAGTGCAAGGGCCCGCAACAACCACTATACACAGCAGCTACGCAGGTGGGACGTGCACAGTCGACCGCGCGGATACAGCAACCGCAACTTTGCCTTCAACAACCGTACACTCACACATATACAAAGGAAGGAGGTCGTAGACTGCAGCCACCACACTAGCCGTATTGCTGCCGCAACATATGCTTCACAGGCCGACACCAATAAGCGCGCGGGCTCTGAGTACACAGGCCACTGCTACGTGGGCTTGGTACACCACCGCAGTTCGACCCAACCTCCTGCACGATCCTGCACAGAGCTCGATCCCTCATCTCGCTCCGCATAACCAGCTTGCCTGGAAAGTTGTCCCTCTTTCTCTCTCTCTTCGGTCTCATCCCCTTCATGTCCCGACCTGTTCTGTTGCCAAAGCCCGTTCCCTGTAACCACGCTGCTCTCGTTAGTCGGTCAAACAAAATCGCAATGAATCTTCCACTAGAATGTAGAAAGATACATTGTCATCTTAGAAGTCCCGTTTCTTCGAGTTCCCTCTCTGACTCACTATCTACTAACCTCCCCCTATAACTAACTTCCTTCCCGATCCGACTTCAGATCTCGTGACGCCTACCCCCAGACTCCCCACCTCTGTCTTCACACCACCCGATTCCACCACGGATCGGGTAAGATCTTCACTCCTCGTCTCTTCTTCTTTCCCCCGTTTCCATCTTCCGCGCACGTCGTTTTTGTCATATCCCCCATCTTAGTATCTCTCCCTCGTTTCTGGCCTCATCATTGGACTCGCCCTGGGCAAAAATCCCGGGATTGTCTCTTACCTCCCTCGATTCCGTTAAGGATCGAGAGAGTTCTGCGGCTTCTGCCCCCTTCTTCTACGCTCGACTTACTACCCCACCATCCCCTGACTCTTCCCTCACTGCGCATGCACCTATCGCAAATCCCGTCCGGGTTCACTCCCCTGTTTTTGTCGCCCCGTTGGTCTCATCCTCTCCTAGCTTCTCCGCTGCCACTGGGACCACTCCGATACCGCGCAATCTCACTGTCGCGTGACGACACCGGCCGACAGCCTGAGTTGTGCTGCGCAAAAACCCTCGAAGAGCGCCTCCAACTGGATGGCTCAATCGGTCTTTCTCCCCTAGGCTCAGCTCCGACAGACGATTCGCACTTCGGTATAGCTGCGTCTGCGCCCTAGCGCCTTCCTCCCTCCTCCTCGTTTACTCGCTCTCTGCCAGCCTCAGCACTCTCCGTTGCCTGTCCTGATCAGTCCCTTCCCCTTTCTTTGCTACTTCGAATCGTGCGGGATAGCGCTCTCCTTCACATCCCACGGCAGGCGTAGTCCGATAGCGCACCGGTACGCGGAGTACGTGTGCAAGGAGTTTAGCAAGGTGGAAAAACAGCAAACAACAAACTCGAAGAAGGCCGCCCCTGATTTATACGCGGTGCCTTCGCGCGGCGGCAGTGCCAACCCTCTCTGTATTGTTCCAATTTTTGACCGATGCCCCGAAGAACTTCAACCGGGGTAGTGCCTGCGCCCTTCAGAACCTGGGCTTGCCCCAAGCAATTTCAGAATAGCTGTTTTTACCCCTTGAACTCCATCACCTGGATCCAACCACAGGCCCGCACTTCAACAGTTCCATGGTGTACCCACTGAGCTAGGCTCTCGGGTCAACGGCTGATCCTGGAACCGATACTGGACTTTCCAAAAAAATAAAATGAGGCTGATGGGGAGGGGAGGAAAACCCACCGGTACTTCCTCAGTCCTGCCAGGCGGGCCCGCAATCGGACTCCTCAGCAAAAACTGAGGGGGATAGTCCCGCGGGACCCTCAACCCTTCAGCTCCTTCGCTGCTCCATTGCTCCTGCGCTGTCGCCCCGCTGACTTCGATCCCCGCACCTCCGTACCAAGAGTCCAACGCCATAACCTATAGGGCTAAGCCCAAGCCTGAGACCAGCACCTGCCAAACTCCATATAAGGTGACGTGCACCGTGCTCCAGGTCAAAAGAACGCCCTGGCCCACTTTTCTACCCACAACCAAGCCTACGGCCGCTTAACTGTCACACCGGCATGCCTGAGCAGCGCCGTGGCTGCCACACACGCTCCATTCTGGGCGCCAGACCTACCGCCGGTTAGGCGGCGTGGCGAACAAGAATCGAACCTCTTAATCCTTAGTCTAATCGGTAACCAAAAAAATCCAGCCGGTTGACTATACCGGCTCCTTAATCAAACACAAGGAGAAGAATCACACGCGCGCCTTAAAACTGCGCGCCCACTCACCTTCTCTATTCAAACAACCCTTAGCCTGCGTGCGGACGACCACCGCGGTCCGCGTAGACGATCAAAGACTCCAAATTAATTTAGCTTTCTGTCGCTTGCAAAAACCAGGGGGGATACCCTTGTCAGGGTATTCGCGCCGACATCATTCCCCAACACACACATGCCACATGCACCCAAGGACCACCCTGCGCCACACCCAGCCTACAGCAGCACAGCTTGGCTATGGCTGCCTGCTCCTTCCAGCTCGCCCTTGAGCGCGTGAGCGCTGGCCAGCTTCAGCGCAGCAGCGCTTGCGCAGCATGCAGCCAGCACCCGAATGTCCAATGCGGAGGCAGGCCCTTTGCTATATGGAAGTGGCCTGCCTGCTGCTACGCTGGGTCTGTCCCAAGAAGCTTCCGGTAGGCCCCGGTAGGCTGAGGCCCAGTCCAAATGAATCAGGCCCAGGGCCTGTGGTGGTTACTTGTGCCCAACTGTTCTCGGCCTGTGTTTGGCCCATATCCCGTATCCAGCCCAGGGCCTGCCTTCCATACATGCAAACAGGCGGCCTGGGCCTGGGTGCTCTTCAACCAACTGGCGCTGGGCAACGGCCTGAATTTTCCTCAGTTGCGCGGTGACCGAAATAGAGGCCCTCAGGTCTTGCCGAGCCTGCCTTCACTTCGGGCGGCCGATGTGCTGCATAACAGGGCCCAAAAAGGGGCTCATTGGGCCCTTGGCCTCGCAATTGTACCTTGAAAATTTTATTGCGGATTCGGACAGCTCTTGAAGAGTGCAGTCGGAATCTGCCCAAAAAAAAAAAAAAAAAGAAAGATATTTGGGCACTTTTTTTCAAAACCGGTTTCCCGGTTCACCCCCCCTGGGCTGGTCCGGCTCCGGTTGGAACGGGGTAGCTCCACCGGCCGGTTGCCGGCCCAGCACTGCCCAAAATAGTCTCAGCGCTGGTCGTGAGGTTAGTCTGTGCCTGTCTGGTGGACCAAATATTTAGCTACTGGGACACAAGCTGTCCTTTCCTTTGCGATGGAAAAGTGAGAGAAAAAGAAAAGTCCAAAAATCCTCCCTTTTCAATAAAATAAAATAAAATGCGAGGAACTAGCCCTCGCAGGGCCCCTTATTGGGCAAACACATGTTCTGGGCAGAGGCCCCCAGCAAGCCGACTGCCCACCCTAAGTGAAGGCGGGCCTGAATATTCATCAGAGGCCAAAGTTCGACATTTTCATATATGGGTATTCAGGCTGTTGCAGTCCGCCAGTTGGTTGAATGGACGCGGGAGCCTCACTAAGCTGCGTCGTACAGTTGGCCCAGGCCTTGGCAGCTGCACCTGGGCACATACACACAAAACAGGGCCGATACATCATGAAGTGGCCACCGGCCTATGCAAAAGCAGTATTGTCGACGTACCTACCCCGGGGTCCTGTGCAAATGAAGGAAACGGCCCAAGTCCGGAGACTCAGGCCGTGCCCAACTGTAAAAGCCCCAGGCCCTCAAGTGTAGTCTCTGGCCTGGGCGCAGGGACTGGGGCCCAACAGGAAGCTACTGGAAGCTTCCAGCCAGGCCACACGCAGCATACAGAAGGCTGCCACTTCCATATAGGACGAGAGGCAGCCCAGGCCAGGCATTCTGGCCCGCGCAGGCAATGCGGTCATGCTGCTGCGCTGCTGGATTGGATGCTGCGTTGCCGCCAGTGGGCTTGTGGGGCGCGTTGAGGTGAAGTGGGGCGCTGCAGGGCAGTGGTGCGCTGGAAGCCATAGCCGGGCTGCTGGGCGCTAGGGGGTAAGACGGGCGATCTGGTGGTCTTCAGGGAAGGAGGCGAGTGTGTGGGTTATCAAGGTCTGATGAGGGTGACGAGATACGTACCTGGTGCATGAAGAGAGGCCGGCTATGGTGCTGACATCATGTACATTGGTCTTCAAGAGTCGAAGTGAGCCTGTTGCGTGAACAAAGCTGTAGGTAGGATAGTCGAGTAGAGTAGGCTAGGCGCTGGGCACCAGACAAAGAGGAGCGACTTTGGACACTGTGTCGGTGTGGCCTGAGGGCTTCAACATTGGCTCATTACTTCATTGTATTGCTCTATTTGGATGGATTCTCGATGCAATTGTGCTCTCTGCTTGTACACGACTACTTGGACATCTGTGTGATTTCACAACTTGGTTTCCTGTATATTGTTCACACTCATATTCCTTGCAAAAATAAATCCTCCCTCTCTTAGCTACTTTCCCTACACAGACCCTTCCTTGCTAGAGGACCCATCCCAATGCATCAGGATTGTGACTGAGGAGGAATGGAGTTGTGTACTTCTTGGTGAGCCAGTCTATAAGTCAATGTAGGGAAATAGCCAATGGGGTCAATGGGCCCGTAGGAGCAATTCTTTGTGACCTCTTCACACTTTGTAATCATGCTACTGAAAGTTATGGTATTACCCATCTTTGTTGCGAATCTTGCATCTGTGTTCCTTGACTGGATCTTTGATAGGATTGCAATCTGGGTTGGTTACTCTCATCTTGGGTTGCTTGTCTGCGTGTTGACGATAAGTTCTGTTGGCTTTGTTTGGATTGCCTACTGTGCGAATCGGCCCCAGCTTTCAATGCAGGAGGCTGCAGAGCTTCTATCCCTGAAGGGCTTCAGCATTGAGGTGAGGCGCATTGCTTGATAGGCATGATGTCTGGAATGCTCTGTCAAGATCTGATGACGAATCCTTGTCTCAGGCTTTAGGTTTGGATTGCATGTTTTTGCTGATGTAAGTAGTTCTTCACCTTGTTGGAAATAGTCCTCCCGAGTTGACTAGCCTTCACATGGGAGCTCCTGTATTTCCCAAGCTGTAGGTCAGTGCTCTTTCCCGGAAGTATGCAGTTGGTGTGTCATGTATAAGGACCATGTGGATATTCAATTGCCCTTTCCTGGAGTGCAGAGCACATATACCTGCCGGAATGGAGAGCCTGTAGCTCTATCAGCTAGTGGCAGAAGTGTCAGAGGTTGAGAGACCAGTGATGACCCACTCGTGCTCCACACTGCTCATTCACCGAACTGTAGTACATCAACAGAGTCACACACATGACCGCCTGTCGTGAAAGGGGGTCACTGGGAAGGGGCCACTCTGGCTGAGAGATGGGGGGTATTACGCGCAGAAGAGGAAGAACAGTATTACTGTATTGGTGAAAAAATAGCGAGGTCCTCTACAGAGTCTACAGCCTGGATTGCCCACATACTACCATTTAACTGAATATTCATGCCTTCTCCCCAGATTCCGGTTGGCTTCTCGACAACTGTAGATGACTTGATCAACGAGAAGTAAAGAACCTGAGCCTGGGCCACTATACCCCTTACTCCTGGTCATTATCACAGCATCTGGACTGCATGTTGCACCAAATACGGCTATCATGACCGGGTGTTCTATTCGGGTGAAGACGGCAGTGTTTAGATCCCTGCTAGGACTTAGTTCTGCTCTTATATTTTGTTTCTCCTGGCCATGCTAGTAAATTGCGGAAGGATAAGAGCTTCCTACTCATTGGGATTGTCTGCTTAGCACTTACTGCATGTTTACACACTTAGTATTGAAGGTGCAGTCTGAAACCTGCCTAAAAAAATTGTTATATAATATGTAACATATTTGAATATTGTCTTGTAACTCAGCCCACTATGCAACCCCTTACTGCCTAAACACCTTTCACTTCATGGCACAACTCCTTTGAGCCCTTTGCAGATATCTTCCAGAGTGCAAATGCCTTTCAGTCTGTGAGGCTGTTCTGTTCAGGTCCTTCAGGATAGGATTGTGAATATTTTGCGGATTATTTTGAAACTTTGAAAGCTTTGTTTTCTATAGATGGTTTGGTGAAGGTCTGGGCCAGTAGTGGTCAATATAGTTATGATTTTGTATGAGCTGAAGTGGCATGCTAGGGAATTTAGAATGTCCTATCTAATAAAATGGGGATTAGGGGTTGGGTAAAAGTGCCGAAATCACAAAAAAAAGGGGGGTGGTGGGGGAGCACGGCTGATGAGAAAGGGTTGCAGTAGGGTACAAGTGGGGAGAAGGGGAAATAGGGTGGTGATAAATCCTCACAAGAGGGGGTAGCAAGGGAACAGGTGGAAGGTGGAGGGGGTCAGGAAAAAAGGATCAAATCGCAAGAGGAGTGGGGAGATGTGGCTAAGGGAAAGCGGGGGGCAGCAGAGAAGTGTCACAATAGAAGTGTTCCTGCCTGTGATGGTGAATGCTTTGTCTGTTGTATGTATGACATAACAGGACTTCAGTGGGGATGTGGCAATGAAGGAACTGGCTGGGATGGTTGAATCTCGGAGGGGAGTCACATTTGGAGGAGTGCCGATTGTTCCTCCAAGTATGCTAAAGGCTGGAACAACATTGCTGGTAATCTTCTTTCTTCCTATTCCATGTTGCCATTGCTTGCTGGTGTATCTGTTTTTGTGGTTGCCAATCAAATGACGAACCAGGTGTGATGGCATTGACTGTCTAAGTACTGCAATCGAAATAATGATGTGTGCTTCAGCCAGTGAATTAAGTGGTTGCCACTGGTTGGTGCATTATGAGTACTAATGTGGGCTCCTGGATGGAATTTTGAAACTGAGATGAAGCAGGCATGTTGATCTCGGAGTTAGTGCCAAGATACAGGGGATTCTTTGGTGAAATGGCCGAAGACTGGGCCCTTGAGGGCCCAGTTGGTGGAAAATCTCGGTTAGTGTAGAGCATTGGGCAAACACTGCAAACAGAAAGCAGCATGTCGCAAAATCGGGAGAAAACACATTGGAAGGTGACATTGGTCTTGTTGCTGTAGTGTGAGCTCTTGTTACGAGTGTGTAGGCAGGTCTGCTCACATTCGACTGGGCTTGCTCTGGCTGCGTTACAATTGCTCTGTAATCATTCACAGCAAGATCACAACCATTGACAGGCAATGCCAGATGTCTGTGAGGAACCGAAAAGTCCAGTCTGATTTTAGAAACAAGGTGGACTGCTGCAGTGAAAGGCCTTCCACGATTCAGACCCCAAATTCGAGTTTCAGGGTCAGAGGCCTGGGCCAAGAAAGGCGAAGTCGGTTAGTTTCAGAAAGTCACAGTCGGGTACCTTAGCTGTCAAAGTCCAACAGGCACCCAGCAAATATTCACATCTCAGGGGTAAAATCACGTCTCATAATGAAAAGTCGTGTTGGAAAGTCACATCCCACGAGCAAAGGACACTTCGATAGGCAAGAGTCGTGTCCCAGAGGCAGGAGGCACAATCCACAGTCAAAAACCATGTGCCACAATCGAAAAGTCGTGACTCAAAGGCCAAGCAGCAGCACACCAATTAAAATTCGGAAAGGTATCGGGCCCTGACATTCGAAAGCAGACAGGCCGTGGGGATGTGGTACTGGAACCAAGTCAAGCCCCAAGAGGCAGAGGCTGGCACGAGTTGAAGTTCGGTCCAAGACAATATAAGGACTGGCCAGCCTCCTCATTCGGCAGATTGCTCATCCGCATGAAGTGTGGAAGTGCTGGTGCACTTGTACGCTATTGTGAGGAGCGAAGCGCTGAGCCAGGGAGCTGCGCTAGTAGAGGGAGAGAGAGGGAGCAGCGATAGCTGCCCAGCGCTGGCAGAGGGAAGGCAGCCTTAGCTGCGCCAGTGCTAGTAGTTAGTAGTTGACATCGGAGGGGTTAGTAGAGTTAGCAGTGGGTGTATTCAGAGTTGGTCCTTGAGTAGTAGAAGGTGTGTGAGTGCATAAAAGTAGGGAGAGGAAACACAGGGAGGTAGTAGACAGAGAGAAGAGCACTGAGAGGGATACTTACCTGAGTTATTACACTGGTTACTTGGGTTAGCACTGTTGAGCGTTTTGTGACTGGAACTCTTAATTGCTTATATGATAATTTGTTGGGATTCTAAAGCTGCGCTACCTGGTCTTCATCTTTCAGGCCTCCAGTGTGAACTTCGTGTGACCCCATTCATGCATGGTGTGTGATTTTGTGCGCTCATTGGTGGTGAACTGAGAGGTTCATTGCAGCAGAGGCTGGGCGGACCGTTCAGAATGGGCCTCACCACACCACCTCACGAAAACCTGTTGTCTGAAAATTGGTGAGGTTACAGAGGTATCAAAAAACGTGTTTCGTGAGGGGCTCTCAAATTCAAAGTTCCGCATGCCTGAAACACTTCCTCTTTTTAGAGTTATTATTATTATTTTTTTTTAACAAAATAGGTCCTTATGGGCCTGGCTCTGTATCCATTCTCGGGAGCGTCAGTGTGGTTCCTAACCGGGGGAAGAGTTACATCAATATACACACACAAGCTCCCTTCCGTCTGGCCAAAGGGTCCCTGAACAGCATTGATTGCTCCGCACATCTGGAGGATTGACTTCCAGCTTGCCTTTCCCTGAAATTCCTCTCAAGCTCCTCTATAGGGGCCTGTCAGATATGCGAGTATTGCAAGAAAACCAGAGAACCTAGCTCAGTGAATTGACACTGAAGACTCTCATATATCCCTGTAGTCCTGTTGTCCAGCCTGTAGAGAACCTCTTGTTCTTTGGGGAGTCTCTGAGTTGTGCCTCTTTTGAGAGTTCTATCTCCACCCCTAGACAGACCCTCCATTTTTCGTGAGGTGTGACTGAAACGAGATGCTACCTGCTTCCTTAGCACCCTGCTCCGTAAGTGCTGCGTGGCGAAGGCCTCCAAACGAAAGCAGACTCATGAAATGTTTTGACAACTCAGAAAAAGGACGGTGTAATGACCTGAGCAAACACGGACTGCGACACACAATTGATTTGTGAGTTTTGCTCATGGAATGAATGCCTTGCTGAGTTTCCCGCTTGTTACTGAGTGCTCTAAGTCTGTGTGTGTGCACGCTTGGTGGTCTACATGTCTGTCTGAGTGCTTGTCAGCTTGAGTGTGTGTGTGACTCGCAAGGGCACTTGTTCATTGAGTAGGCCCGAAGGGCCAGTACTTACCTGTGGCCGTGACATTGAGGAGAATGGTGCAAGCTTGGAGGCTTGAAAGACAGGGTAAGTGCGGAGATGACCAGGGATCCGAATAACATAGGATGGCCCATCAGGGTCTTCCCCAACAACATCTAGAACCTCCCGTGGTCCCAAGTACTGTGGCATGAGCTTACGGGAGATCCCGTGCTCCTGTCCCAGTTCTGAGGATTTTACCCAGACTCTGTCCCCTATCTGAAATGTAGAAGGGCGGCGGTGTTTGTTCTCAGATTCTATCATTGCGGCCTGTGCCTTGTGCATCTGTTCTACTGCCTGCTGCATCAGTTGTTCATAGCGAGGCAAACTCAAGGGTGCCGGGTGCAGCAGTTGACTGATTGTCAGGTAGCAGAAAGTGTAGGGGCAGTCTGGGCTTGAAAGTCAGTAGCAGACTATTAGGACTTACTCCAGTTGCGTTGTGCACAGCATTGTTATACAGGTTGGCGATGAGAGCAAGTTTCTCATCCCAGTCCACCTGATTGGGCTTGATGTAGTGCCGCAACAGGTGTTGCACAGCGCGATTAAGCTGCTCTGCTTGGCCATTGGCCTCGGGATGGTTCCCAAAAGTCATCTGCAGCTGTGTTCCCTGTTCTGCAGCTGCAGCCTTCCACAACTCGCTTGTGAATCGGACATCCTTGTCACTAACAATAGACTTTGGGAGCCCAAAGTCTCTAACCTTGTTCTCTTTGAAGAGTCTGATCACATACTCAGTCTTTGCTGTCTCCGGCATTGCAACTAACCTAGTGTACTTACTAAACCTGTTCACGATAACAAAGATGTGTCTCATTCCACTCTTGCCGGTGACCAGCGTGTCCATGAAGTCCATAGACAGGCTCTCACCGGGCCTTTCCGGAATCGGAAGGGGCTTGAGGACCCCAAGAGGGGCCTGCGTACGGGGCTTGTCTCTCTGACAGACCTGACAAGTCTCCACGTACAGCTTGGCATCTCTCATCATCGTGGGCCACCAGAATCGCTGCAGCAGATTGGCTGCAGTCGTCTTGAAACCAAAATGTCTGGTGGCATCATGACACTCGCCTAAAAATAAACTACGCAAAGACTCCCTATCTGGCACACACAGACGTTTATTCCCTGCCTTCTCAAGGAACAGCAGTCCGTTGACCAACACAAACTCGGCAGAAGTCACTTTGTCCTTCGCCTTGAGTCTGCGTATGATCTTAGACATAAACCGGTCCTCGCGATAGGCTTCCACCATAGAGCGAGTAACATCGTCCGCAAGCCCAAACTCAGTGATCAGCGCACCAGAGAAATCTGGTCTATGCGACAGCGCACCAGCAACCTTGTTGTACTCGCCCTTGATGTACTGGGGCTGTCATACTGCTCTATGACTTCGATCCAATGCTTTAGAGCGTCGGAGAGCACAGGTTGGGTCTTGATCCACTTCAGGGTCTGATGATCAGTCCTGACGTAGAAGAACCTCCCAAGGAGATAGTGTCTCCAATGGGTGAGCACCTTATAGATCGCATAGAGTACCTTCTCATAGGTGGACTTAGCCAACTTCTGAGAGGGCATCTTTTTGGACATGTACACTACCGGCCTCAACTTCTTCCCCTCCTGCTGCGCAAGTACGACGCCTATGCCATATTGACTAGCATCCGTAGTTACTACAAAAGGTTTGCCAAGATCAGGAAGTTTCAAGACCTCATGGTGTGTCAACGCATGCTTTAGTTGTCTGAAAGCAGCCTCACACCTGTCTGTCCACTTCCATGGGGTGTGAAGGAGAGTCAAGTCCGTCGAAGGGGCAGCCGCTATGCTGTAATTCTGAACAAAATTGCGGTAGTAACCTGTCATCCCTAAGAAGGACCTCATCTCAATCACAGACTGAGGACACGGCCAATCACGAATGCTGGCCACCTTCGCATCATCGGGCTTCAAACCCTCTGCGGAAATCTCATGACCCAAGTACAAGACACGGGTGCTGGTCAAACTCGCACTTCTCACCGTTGATCTTGAACTTGTGCTGTCGAAGAAGGCTAAGGACTTTGTCCAAATGCGCAACGTGCTCCTCGACAGTCCTACTAAAAATAAGAATGTCATCGAGGTACACGATGACAAACTTATCCAAGTAGTCATGAAATATCCGATTCATAGCGTGCTGAAAGGTGCCAGGAGCATTGCAAAGGCCGAAAGGCATCACCACAAACTCGTACAGACCGTACCTGGTCTGAAATGCGGTTTTGTGTTGACCCTCGAGCCGGATTGCAATCTAATGGTACCCAAACTTCAGATCTATCTTACTAAAGTACCGGCACCCTTGCACTCTATCTAGCAAGTCGTCGATGCGGGGTAGGGGCTCTCTGTGCTTGACAGTGATGGCATTGAGGCCCCTATAGTCAATGCACATCCTAAGTGTTCCTACCTTCTTCGGTACGAATAGGACTGGCGATCCATAAGGAGAAACACCCGGCCGGATCCAACCCTTCTCTACGAGTTCCTTGAGTTGCCGGCGAAGCTCATCAAGCTTGCCTGGAGACATCCGATAGATCCTACCCTTTGGGATACTAGAACCTGGGATAATCTCTATCAACCTCCCTCTCAACAACCCCTGTAGGCTCCTGAAATAGATCAGGGTACTTGGCAACTACTCCCTCTATCTCCGGCGGCATTTTCACCGGCTCGCCTGTTGCAGATACATAGACTAGATACATACCCTCCTCCGGATTTTGCTTATAATAGTTATAGAACGCGACCACACACATGCATCCGTGGGACTCAAGCAGACTACTAGCTTTGAACTTACGTAATCTGGCGGTCCCTCCACCTCGCAAAGTGTGTTTGACAACTTTTCGGTCCCAGTCAAACTGGGGCTGTGCCACGGAGAGGTAGTACATACCTAACAAGATATCCATAGGGAGATCATCACTCACTAGGAATGAGACACGATGTCTCAATTCCCCTCCCGCGTACGGGAAACAACACTCAACATCCTGGAGGTAGTCGTTGACTACCATGCGCTGTTTGTTGGCACAGGTCGACTCCACAGGTCGACTCAGGCACTGCACTCGCCCCTGTAAGCGCAGCCTCTCAACGCACGCACGACTAACGAAGTTTCTAGTCGAGCAAGTGTCATAATAAGCCTTGGCCTTGCGTCCGCCGATGACTACCTCGCCGACGAACATCTCTCCCTTAGGGGCTTTGGCCAATGTCGTCCAAGAAGCTAGTGGGTCTGATCTAGACCACTCCAAACATATTCATCGAACAGAGGCTCGATGGGCTAGAATGTCTTTGCGGGACGACTATGGAGTCAGTAGCTTGGGCCATCTCTCGAGATGGTAAGGGCGTGTCCACCACCTCGACCCTAGCAGGAACAACTACCATTCCTATTGGCCCGACGCGTTTCCCAAAGCAGTGCCAGAACTGCTGGCCACATTGCTACCTACGGGAGCGGAGGATCCCAATGCCTGCCACATCGTAGGCGGGATCTTTTCGGTCACCTGCTTATTTCGGCACTTGAATTGGTTATGGCCATATTGGCCACAACGGATACAAGCCTGCCGAGCGTATCGATAACTCCACACGTCCTCAGTGAGACCCACTTTCTCCCATGGGGGAGCATTGGGGTCAACTTGACTCCTTGACCGGGAACCTCCATGGCGTCTACCGGCCGCCTTTCCTTTTTGAGCTACGGCAGCGACTACTCCACCCCCTGAAGCCTCTACGCTGCCAGCTTCTGAACCTACTCCCTCCTGGAAGTTGTCATCTAACTCGATGGTTGAACCATCGTTATCGACAAACATAATGCGACCCTTCGCCTTCTTGTTGGGAGGCAGTGACTTTCTCCTACCATTGGTAGTGGGTGTCTGTCCATGCCCTATCTTTGCCTCAAGGTCTAGGGCCTTCTTGCTAAACGAGGGAAAGTTGTGCATATTGATGTTGGCCTCACCGGCCAACTGATTCCTGAGAGGCATGGGAAAGCATCTCAGGTAGGAGGTGAGTAAGACCTGGGGGTCATAGTGCACCCCAGGGACACAGATCAAACACTCTATTGCGTCAGTGGCTTCCCTTACTGACTTAAACTGCCTTGTATGAAGTGTTAGGATCGCATCAATAGCTTTTGGGGCTTCCTGAGGATCATGCCACCTGTCTTCCACCAACTTAACGAAGTCATCCAATTTCTGGGTGACTGCCCAAGCGTGAAAGTCATGACCGTACCCCTGTAGCTGCACTAAACCACTTAACCATCGTGCTGGAGTCCCCTCTAGATAGGATGCAGCTACAAGCACTTCCTCGTGTGGCAAGGTAAGTTTACACTTGACATAGACTGGCACTGCCCTCAACCAAGTGTTGAGGTCTTCGCCCCTCTTATCCCCTGTAAAGGGTTTCGGAGCGGCGATGGCTGTCTTTGGTACCCACTGACTCTGTGCTGGTCCCTGCATCAGTTCGGGCTGTGGACCCTGTGGTGCAGGCTGCTGCACTGACTGCTGGGGCTGTGTACCCTGCGACTGTGCAGGCTGCGAGACAACAGGCTGCCCAGTTACGGCAACCTGCAACGGAGGTTGGGAATACACTGATTGTACAGGAACCTATACACTAGGACCTGTTGAAAACCCGCCTGTCAAAGGCATACCTAGGGAAACAGGCTGGACCGATGTTGGGGATGTATATGGGGATACCCCAGTCACTGGTGGGACAAATGGAGGAGGATGTACAACGGGCCAGGCACTGGGCCCGGACAGTGGTGGTGCCACCTGCACTCGCCCGACTAACACAGCCAGACTCTGCTGGATGTCGTGTAAGATCTCCATCTGGTGATCTTGCATCTCTACTACACTTAGCAAGACCGACCGTATGGTCCTCACATCATCCTCCAACTCTGGAGGGTCCAACTCCTCTAACTCACTGATGTCTGCTTGCCTCCGCTGCATCCTGGCTCTTCTTCTAATCATCCTTTCTTTTTCTGCCTTAATCTCTCCTAAAGCCTGTTGTAGCTGTGCCTCGCGATACGCAGCTCGCTGTATGGCGACCTCCTCGAGAGTCATCACTAACGGCTGGCTCGCCATGACGCCAGTGGACTGACTCAGAGTCTATGCAACCGTTGACCCTACAAACTCTGAACTATCGGCTTGAGAACTCTGTTGCGCAGCAGTTGCCATGGTTGCTGAAACAGCGGCTTCGCTTGCGAATGCCCCGCTGGCCTCTGCTGTCGTAGCTCTCCTTTGCTGCTGCTGCCTCTCCCTAAGCTGGCGGAGCAGAAATCTGTCACCCTCTGGCCCTAAAGCCAAGTGGGCTATCGGGCGTCTAGTCGATCGCAAGATCCGGTCGTCTGGTTGTGGGACCTCCCTGTCACTCATAAGCTACAACACTATACACAGTCTGCACGAGGACGCTCTGGATGCCTACCGCAGCGTAGTGCACATACCAACTAAAAATAATTAATTAATTGGCGGCTGCGTCAGAGTAGATACATTTGGGTTCAACAGGTAAGTTCAGATTCCTACGAACGAAACTACTTTGACTTTGACTAGTTCCCAAACAGAAGCACAATGAACAAAGAACAATTCTAAACTATGCTGGCTGTCAAATGTCAATGGCTGTACATCTAACTAATCAAAATAAAAATAGAATCATTTCTTGGGTCTGTTTGCAGAATGGAATCTTGCCGAAACTTGTCACCTGGAATCTACCCCTCGCTCAATTCTTTTTGAATGTCTCAGGTTGCCAACGTCCCTGAGCAATCCAGATAGCGTGCGTGTCTGAAGGTGTGCGCACAGCCCACCCCTGTGCCCCGAGTCCTACTGAACTGGCCAGCCCTGCACCGTATTTATCCTCGCGTGCAGCGAGCCTTACACCGACCAATTGGCTAATCAGGAAGCGTTTTTATGGACGGCCCCCGAAGTCCTCAGGAATTCTTTAACATCGCAAACAGGACGACGATCACAACCAATGGAAGGTATCCTGCCGGTGCTTATTTATAGACGCCCGGTCTCGTCTGTCCCCTAGGGCTGGCCTGCCCTTCATAACCCCTCTACAACGCAGCGAGCAGACAAAGGACAAAGCAGCAAAGCATGCGTGCTCTACTCTCGGTGGGTTGGCATGGTGACCGTGACCCAGTGCTTCGTCCAGGGCCCTTTAGATAGCTCCGCCCTCTCCTTCCAGATGCTCCACGTGAAGGCTGACAACTCTCAAGGTTGAGTGCACACGACTCCTCACATGAGAGGACTCTGAAGATAGAACACACATCCTCACGATAAGAAGTGTTGAAGAGGGTAGATAAGGTTTAGGTGCAACGTACCTCAAAATAGCTGCCCCCAACCATAGATATTCTCACCAGCTGACCTGATGTTGATTGTGATGACCAATCGCTGCTTTGGCACAACCAGCATTGCACAACCGTTCCACCTCAGCATCAATCACACACCGGATAGTTCTCATCACACTGCGCACAACCAATAATCACCACACAGCCTTCCTGGTGATACCCCTCACCTCCTGGGTCGCCACTTATCTTCGCCCTCCTCACTACACACGTCCCACGGCACGGTCGCTCACCGTACACACCACGTGCATGTACCGCATTAGGCAGAAGATAAGCGCCAGATTAGCGCACCGAACCACAGCTCTGATACCAAATTGCAAGGAACATGAGCAATAGCGAACTTCAGCAATCAAACAGCATCGTACACATGAGACCAGATAGTCGTGACCTCGAACCAAAAGCAGAATTGCATCACGAGTTTCACCAAATAAGAGCACACCAAACGCTCATAATTGACAATGCTGGAATAGTCTCATCATCATCATCAACGAAGAACCAATTTTGATATCCTATCTGGCGCTCGGCGCCCAGACTACGAATGGCAGATTCTATCTAGCCTAGACTACAATGCGGTTGATGACGTCAACAGCTCCCCGAAGTACGAGCAGATCTCGGCCAAGCACCAGGTATGTCTCTTGTATCACTCACGACCTCGTTCCCCAACTCACAGGTGCCACTTGCACCCAAGGACCACCATGCGCCCCATCCACCATACAGCAGCGCAACTTGGCTATGGCTGCCTGCTCCTTCCAGTTCGCCCGTGAGCGCGAGAGCCTGACAGGCAATAGCGCAGCAGCGCTTGCGCACAAAGCAGCCAGTGCCCGAATGTCCAATGCGTGGGCAGGCCCTTCCCTATATCGAAGTGGCCTGCTGCTGCGTGCTGTGCTGCGGTACTGGGCCCCGGCCCAAAAGCTTCCGGTAGGCCCAGGAAGGCTGAGCCTCCGTCTGAAGGAAACATGCCTAGAGCCTGAGGCGGTTATCAGCAGCAACTGCCCTCAACCTTTGCTCAGTCCACTTTGTGTATCCGGCCCAGGGCCTGGCTTAGTTACATGCAATGAAGGCAGCCTGGGCCCGGGGTGCTTCCAACCAACTGGCGCTGCGCAACTGCCTGAATTTCCCCAGTTGCGTGGTGACCCTGAAATGGCTTGTAGGCCTCGGTCGTGCCTGCCTTCACTTAGGGCGGCCGACTGTGTGAAAAGTGGGCCCTGAAGGGCATATCGAGGCCCTAAGCCTCGCATTGCCATCTTCATCGCCTTGGTGGGCGCTGCAGCAGGAAGGGCCGTTGGGGCAGAGCTACACCAAGAAGCTTCGAGGCAGAGTAAGGCATGGCGGCCTGAGCTAGAGCAGCCATAGTTGCTTTGTGTTGTCCTTTGGACAGCAGGGCGAGACCCTGGTGGTCCGTCAGAGCCTCGGCCTATGAGAGAGAAGAGGGAGAGGGGCGGCCATGTCTATGGTGGACCTCAAGTGAGACCTGCAATAGAAGAGGGAATCGGACATTGATTCTGGATCAGCCATTCAACATCCCTACACTTATAGAAATCGCTATTCGGTACGTGAGATTTGGCTGATCCGGGCCACCCGCGGTGTACCGGTAGACGGTCCGGATTTCCCAGCGATCTTATAAGACTTTAAGACTTTACGTGGTGATCCAGACCATCCGTTTTGTCGGACGACCTGGATCGTCGCGCGATCTTAAAGTCATAAGATCGCACAAAAATCCCGGACGGTCTGGATTGCCACGTGATCTTAAAGTCTTCAAGTCTTAAGATCGCACGGAAATTCGGACCGTTGGTCCGGTAGGACCGCAGATGGCCCGGATCGGCGCGCCCATTGGAAATAGGGCCCGTTGCAGGGCGTCGCTTTCCCAGCACAAAAGTCCAACAGGCCCTCCTGCCTTCCCACCTCGGCTTCGCCACCGGCTCCCACCTTCCGCCTCCTCCAGCCGTTTCCCCTGCGCCACCGCCCAACATCTCCTCTCGGCCTCCGCCCACATCTTCTATGCATGGCGCCCACCTCGCCTCCACCTCCGCCCACCTCTCCTCTACCTCCTCCTGCCATCTCCTCTCCGCCTTCGCCCATCTCCCCTCCGCCACCGCCCACCATCTCCCCCCTGCCTCCACCCACCTCTTCTCCGCTCGGGGGCCATCTCGCCTCTGCCTCGGCCTGCCGGTCCACTCCGCCTCCGCCTCCCCCCACCCCTTGGGATTCCTCTCCCTCGGCATTCCCCTGCCCCAGTTCTCCTCCGCATCCACTCACCTCTGCTCCCACCTCCACCTACGCTCACCTCCACCCACCTCACATTCGCCTCTGCCCACCTCACCTCCGCCTCTGCCCACCTTACCTCCACCTCCGCTCACCTCTGCCCTCCTCACCTATGGCCTGCCCACCGTTGCTCTCTCTCTCTCTCTCTCTCTCTCTCTCTCTCTCTCTCTCTCTCTCTCTCTCTCTCTCAGTGCTTGGTATGCCGTTCTTGGTACTGCGTGCTCTACGGGCTTGCCTACACGACCTACTGACTTGCCTACGCCCACTCAGGCGACCTACGCAATCTTGGTTCAGTCTAAAAGTCATAAAAGTGAAGTAATTTGTCATTCTTGATGGGATCTAATCTAAAGGTGGTGTATAAGATTTCATGGTATCTTATCAAAAGACAATTACTATAGAATTCTTCATTTTGAATTATTTATTTTATTCATTTCGTAGTCGAGCCTTTTTTTATGGAGCTGTGTATAGCGAACATGACGGCACACACACGCACACAGATGCATCTTGGGCAGATTGTCAGGGTTCAACCTCTGATGAAACAGTCTGGACAGTCATGCTTCCTTTTTGGCGTGCACGAAGGCAAGAGAGAGAGAGAGAGAGAGAGAGAGAGAGAGAGAGAGAGAGAGAGAGAGCACCCGACCATGACAACGCTGACAAATGAAGATGACGAGGAAGATGAAAGATAAGGAGCATGAGCATGATTTACGAGGACAAGGTAAGATAATAATGACATCAATCACCGATTGACGGAATGGAGTGGGTAAGGAAACACAAGCTGCTTCACGTGGGGAGGGTTAGGGGGGGGGAGGGGCGTCACATGTCGCAGCCACGTGGTTGGATCGTTTATCCATTTTCATTCTCTTCGTGTTTTTTTTTTTGGTGTGTGTGTGTGTGTGTGTGTGTGAGAGAGAGAGAGAGAGAGAGAGAGGGGGGCGCGGGGGGGGGGGGGGGGGGGGGGGGGGGGGGGGGGGGGGGGGGGGGGGGGGGGCGGCACGGGAGGGAGAGGGAAGGGGTAAATGGGAGAAGCAGGCTCTAGTGGTTTCATTTTTCTCTCCTGATCGGGAGAATGAGTAGAGGCAGGGAAACATCGCGAAGGAGTGGAGAGGGAAACAAGCGGCCATGACGGCAGGACAGGATGACGGGATTAGGTTCTTGAAAAGTCTTGGGTTCCAAATGCAATGGGACGGAGAGGAGGAGGTGGGGGAGTAAGGAGGAGGGAAAAGGAAGATGGGTGTGGCAGTCATTGGGGATTTAAGATCGGGGGACGCAGGTCAAGTGCAGCCATTGCGGGGAGATGGGATCAGGTGAAAGGAGGACGGGTGCCACATTTGAGGGAAGGGAGTGGGTAAAGAGACACAAATGGCGCCACGTGGGGAGGGTTAGGGGGACTTGGGGGGAGAGGGGGTAAAAGGCACGGTACGTGGTGCAGCCACGTGGCTCGATCATCTTTTTCGTTGTCTTTTTTTTTTCGTTGTCTTTTCTTTTTCGTTTTT